TTAGGGGTATTACATAAATGATGTTTTTTCTTCATCCTCTAGATTCATAGGAATCTGATTGTACTCGGAGTATGCATCAAGGAATGTAAGTCTCTCATAACCTGTGATAGCATCAACCATCTGATCTATCTTTGGCAATGAAAAACTATCCTCAGGGCAAGCCTTATTGAGGTTGGTGAAATCTATACAGACTCTCTACTTTCCATTCTTCTTTTGGACCACCATTATGTTTGAGAGCCACTGAGAGTAATGTACTTCGCGAATGAAACCTGCTTGAAGCAATTTATCTACTTCTTCAACAATAATTCAATTTCTTTTAGGAGCGAACCTTCTGTGTCTTTGTCTGACTGGCCTGAATGAAGGATCCACCTTTAGATTATGGCAAGAGACTGAAGAGTCGATTCCTGGCATGTCTGAATGGATCCAGGCAAATGTGTCTGCATTTCTTCGGATGACATTAACAACACTTCTTTCTCTTTAGCTGTTGGGGAAGAGCCTATATAAGTGATTTTTTGGCGATTGCCGAGGGCTTCGAGAGATTCCTTATTGGGTTTTGTAGCTTCAGCTTCCTCCTCTGCTTCTAAATACTTGTGCAAAGGATTCTGTAATTGCTATTTAGAAGTTTCTTCGGGGATCACATCTAGTTTGGACAGCTTAATCCCCTTCTTTTCTTCATTTAATGTCAGCATGTAGCATTCTTTTGCAACAACTTGATCTCCCCAAAGATTAATGACTTCTTTTCCATCTGAAGATAAGTGTCACATCACCTAATGGAGGGTAGATGGGACTTCATTCATTCGGTGGATCCAACCTCTTCCCATAATGAGGTTGTAAGAATGATGGATTTCTATTAAAATAAAGTTTTCTTTCAGTGTCCTTTTCGCCGCAGTGATTGATAAATCGATTACCCCAATGGGGTCCACCTTTGTCCCATCAAACCCCATCAGAGGACTGGAGGTCGGCCGAATTGATGATGATGGGATCTCCAACTGTTCAACAACTGTCTTTGTTATAATATTGACACTGCTACCTGGGTCTACTAAGACTCTTTTGATCATGCAATTTACTACCAGTAGATTGATGATAAGTGGATCTTCGTGGGGAAATCTAACTCTAGATAAATCTCTATCTCCGAACCCAAAATTAATACTGCTCGAAGCAACAACATTTACCGAGGATAACTTCCTTAGCTTGTGGGCTGCCCTTAGCCTGGAGCGGTACACCTCTTCTGACTCTTGGTATTCCTCTGACCTCCCAAGTATTGCATGAATGACCTTCACTTGATTCCCTCTTACTTTTCGAGGATTGACCTCATTCGGCCTTGCATGCTCTTTTGGTGCGAGGTAATCTACCAGATCTCCTTTGGTTATCATGTTTTCCACTTGCCGTCTAAAGGATCTGCAATCGTTGGTTGTATGCCCATAATCCCTATGGTAGGCACAATGTTTATTTTTATCCCTTTGCTCCAAGGGCTGCCTCATTGGTTGAGGAACTGTAAATCTTATTTTGTTCTCTTAGAATAACCGAGCTAGCGTGATACGAAGAGATGTGATCCTCTCCTCAGTCCTTTGTCCCTTCTCAAGTATCTGGGCGACTGTTGCTGAGGTATATTGGCTTCTTTGATTTTTTAAACTTGAAGCTTTTTCCCGAGGCTTATTTTCTACTGTGATGAGGGTGGCATGTTGTACTCAGTGGGCTACATTCTCCTCAAGTCGAATGTAAATTTGTGCCCTAACATTGAGATTTTCCATGTCCGGAGGGGAATATTTGACTAGAGAGGTATGAAACTTGGTTCCCTGGGTCATACCGATCTTGAATGTGTCTATAGCAGTCTCAGGATGACAATCTGTTATCTCCAAGGCCTCCATGTTAAACCTAGACAGGAAATCTTATCATGTTTCCCCTCTCTTTTGCCTTATAGTGAAGAGACTATCGATGGTCTTTTTCTGTTTCTTGTTTGCACAATACTGTGCTAGGAACACGGCACACAAAGTTTCGTAGTTTGGAATGGACTTGTGCGGCCTGTTTTTGAACCATTCTAATGCGGCACTCGTTAGACTAGTTGAGAAAACTTTACATATGAATGCATCGTTGTGATTGTCCAAAGCCATCTTCTGCGAATAGTGATGGAGGTGACGAGAAGGATCTCCTATGCCACCAAACTGAGTGAAGGAAGGCATGGTGAATTTCTTTGGTCTGTCAACATAGTATATCTGATCAGTGAATGAAGTCTTTACCAAAGAGACCTTATGCTCTCTGGCCATCTTAGTGGGTGTCTGAATCCTTAGGAGCCTCTTCTCATCAAAGGCCTCCTGGACACCAATGCCAGCTGGAACGCCATTAGTCCATATTGTGAGCTTACGACTGGATTTGGCATGTTCGTCTTGTGTGTGATGAGGATGATTGCTTAAAGCGACCACCTCGGTTCTTGTCCTCTGCTCTTGCAGAACCTCGTTGGGCCGAACTTCGTTAGACCGAACCTCATTGGCTTGAGGTTCGTTAACAGGAGGAATATTATGGTTGGGGGGAGGTCCCGCTGCATCACCAGGTGGTCGCTGCTGCGCTATCTGTGCCACAGCTACTTAGAAAGCATCGTTCCTCTATTGAAGCAACGTAATCTGAGCCGTGCTGGCCTCATTCGCTTGACGAAGCGTCTCGAATTGGTGCAAGAATTCTTCTCGCATCTTTTACATTAACTCTATCTGTTGATCAGCTGCTGCTGCGGATCCTCCGATTGACATTCGAGATCGTAGTAGCATAAAAGATTTGAATCACTCATGGGAGTATATTTCTATACATTTCCCACAGACGGCGCCAAAGTGTAGGTACAAAAATTAACAAGAATTAACAAGAATTACTTAGAGAAAAGCCTGTATTGCTCGATGATCTTTATTGGAGGTCTATGCCTCCATTTATATACAAAAAGATGGTGAAATTATGGTAGGACTCGCCTTATTTGTCCTACAATTCATTCCATATATATTATTTTTTACATATAGAGTTCTTTCCTTTTCATAATTCATTCCATGTCAGACTTTTCTTTCATAGAACTTTCTTTTTATGTAGGATCCCTTGATTAGTAGGACTTGTTCCATCTTTAATAAATTTGGGCCGAATACAACTTGGACTGGCTGATCTTGTTAACGGGCTGGAAGTTCAACATTAGCGACCTTGGGCTAATAGTGGCTTAACTTTGGCTTGACTAGTGCTGGGCTTCTGCAATCTATCGAAAGATAAAAAAAAAAAAGTAATTCTTTATTGTGGTGACATGGATGACTCTTATTGGAGGGGGATTTTTCCCTCCACAGGGGAGTTTTCAGTTTCTAAAATTCCTTCCACTAAATCAGCTTTAAAGAATGCATTTTGATGAAAAGAATTTAAAACAAAAAAGTTGTTTGGTGGATAAATTTTTTGAAGCTCTTTTAACTATTAACATAATTTAACTTGACAATTATATCCTTAATAAATCATGAATAAAGAGTTGAATTAGAATGTACAAAGAAGGGGGGGGGGGGGGGAGGGGGACCATAATTAAAGTGATGGAGTGAAATTGCCAATGATGTAGCAACGATTAATTGGCGTAGTGAAAATCTGGGTATACAAATTCAACCCAACTCAATTTACATGCTAGAAGTTGAAAGAGATGGGAAAAAAAAGGAAAGAAAAATAAAAATGAAAGAGAGAGATGGCAGCAAAAATATCCCATTTTTATTTTTAATTATAACTATAAATCACTTTAACAGCGGAACGGGTAGCCTTCAAAAAAGAAAAAAAAAATTATATATACATATATATATATATATATATATATTGTGTGTGTGTATATATATATATGTTTTTTTTTTTTTTTTTTTTTAGAGAAATAAAAGTTATTTAGAATTCTATATGGGGTTGAATTTTGGATAAGAATTCATAAATCTTGGGACTCTTCAGACTTTGAAGTCAAATAGGAGTCAATAGTAATTTTTCCTGCAACTCCTCAATCTCTTTGTTCTTTCTCAATCTCTTTGTTCTTCTTTTGTTAATACGTTTTTCAACAATATTTTTTTCAATAAAGTTCTGTGAAATTTTGCTCAGCATTATTATTATTATTTTTTTGGTAGAGAATGAAACAAAGAAGATGATACAGAAAGAGAAAGATAAAAGTTTACAATGATATTCAGAAATGGAAATAGGTTAAATAATGGACAATATAGGGATTTTATATTTATTACTTAAAAAAGTATGTAACTTGCGAGAAGTAGATTAGGAAATATGTTTTATTAGTTTTGGTCAATTGGGTTTCTAAACCATGAGACTTTTTTAAAGTCTCTTTTAAAAAAATTTGGACATTTTGGGATTAGAAGCCCGTTTTGAGGCTACAAAAAATCCAACCAAACAAGCCCAAACTTGTTTTATTTACTATATAGAATATTTCTTATCAGTTTTCACATTCGTGCATAAATTTGTAAATAGAACACTAAAGCTAAAATTGCATGACATCAAAGGATGAAGTCTAGTGGTAGTATATCATCATGACTTATGAGCACCAGGGACCATGGTGAAACCAAGTAAAAGGGTTTTTACAATATTCTAGGTGTAACGTATTCTCGAATCTTTCAATCATTAAATTATCTATTAGATGGATCGTCTCATCACCACATTTAATGGTTGAGAAATGTGAGAGTATGGTATTGGGATATTCTAGAATTATATTATCTTCTTTTTTCTTTTTTCTTTTTTTTTTTCTATATTTCTAGACTCAATTTATTAACACGTTAAAAAATAAAATAACCTCCTTTGAGATTCTTAATTGTCTTAGGCTAAATTTCTTTCTAGCAAACATGTTGGTATATATAATCAATCCAACCAAAAGAGAAATCCATGTATATTAATAACGGTCAACAAATTGAATCACGCGATTATTGTTCAAAACCCTATATCTAAAATAAACTGAACTAAAAACAAAAAAAAAAAAAAACGAAAACGAAAACAAAATATATACACATATATATATTCCAAGCTGATTTTAAGTTCAAATCTTCTAAGAAAATCTGTACCATAATGTCAACACACAAAACCACTAATCTTAATCTCTCAAGGAATAAAACAAAACCTTGATCTAAACCAAAAAAAAAAAAAAAAAAAAAGGTTATATATAACTTTTCTTGGAAAAGAAGGAACTAAACATAATGAAAGGAGTCTAATCAAACAAGCTGAACATCATCTCATCATCGCTCTCTTCCATGGCTTCCTCCTGCAATATTGGGAGGGAAAAAAAAATATTGGCCAATAAATTAATTATAATTGATTGATAATACCAATCACTAAAGTAAATAGGATAAGTAAAACATTTATGTATACCTTTTTCTCCTTAACTGCGGGAGCCTCAGGGGCGGCAGCGGCACCACCTGCCGGAGTAGCAACTGTGGCGGCGGCAGCACCACCTCCACCAGAGCCAACGTTCATGATGAGGTCTTCAACATTCTTCTTCTCCAAAAGCTTTGCAAAGAGACTTGGCCAGTACGACTCCACTTTCACGTTTGCTGCTTTTACCAATGTAGCAATCTTCTCGGCCTGCCAATGCATGTAACAGCTGAATATATATATATATATATATAAAGATTTATACATATAATGAATTTTTTTTTTGTAAGCTTCTTTTTATAATTTAAGCCTAAACCTGTCACATCCAAATTGAACCCAATATCTAATATAAAGAAATAAACTATAATATTGAATATAACTAGATACAATTGATACTATTGAATATTTATTATTTTTATTAAAATATTCCAAACATACATACATGTTTATGTATCAAAATAAAAATAAAAAAATAGAAAAGCAGCACAAAAATAAATAAATAAATTGTAGATGAAACCGGCTAACAGATCAGTAGAGATAATATCGAGACTTACAGTGATTGAGAGGCCGTCATCATGAAGGATCAGAGAAGCATAGGTACAAGCAAGCTCGCTCGCAGACATCTTTCGCAGACAATTATATATATTAGAGAGAAAAATCTAGAGAGAGGCGGAGACAACCGACGAAAGCTTTGTGCGCAAGGAGCGCAAGATCCCAGGGCTTTTTATTTACAAAAAATATGTTTGCTACGTTACCTAATTGGTTCACATATCTTACAGGCAAATCCTAAATTAATTAGGTTTTATGTTTCCTAATTGGTTCACATATCTTACAGGCAAATCCTAAATTAATTAGGTTTTATGTTTCCTAATTGGTTCACGTATGGAGCGCAAGCTCTCACGGATTTTGAATATTGTGTTTTGCTATTTTATTTTGCTATTTTATGAGATAGAAGTTTATGAATCATAATATTCCCTTTAATTAATAGCAGTTTGTATTCAATTCTAAAAAGTAGCCATATATTTTCTAATAAATCAATTTGACTTTATGTATCTAAAACTGTTTTGGAGTGGTATGATTCTAACATGCACAACTAACAATAATCTTTTATTTATTTATTTATTTACTAAATCACTTTTATTTAATATTAATATTTAGTAATATATAATAACGTTTTTTAATTTTTTAATTTTTATTTTTTTTACTATTGATAGCTATAGGTAAATTAAGACAAGGACAAATAATTGAGTATCCCTTCAGGATTGTTGTTGAACCGCTTGTGAAATTTTTTTAATAAAGGTAAAACTTAATTGGACCGCTTGCTTAGGGCCCGTTTGGGAAGTGTTGTGTGGTGTAGTGTAATGCTCTAGCCTAGAACAGAATAAGTATTGTGTGGTGTAGTGTTCTGAAAGGAGAACAAAACATATTTGGCGACGAAAATTTGTTCTGAGAATTTTGGAATAGAAATTATTATTTTTTTAATGATTAAAATAAATTAATTACTTCACTTGATTTGTAACGACCTTGGATTTTTCCACACAATGTGTTCTGTGATGACCCGAACCGGGTTCAAGATGCGGAAGCAAAAGAAGCAAAATGGCCTCAAGAGATGTACGCCATCCCTAGGCACCACGATGACTCCCTATGAAGCCATGGAATTCAAATGAATAAAGTGCAGAAGCAAAACAAAGACAAATCCTTAGAGATGTACGTCATCCCTAGAGTACAAGAATGGACTCTCAAAGAGTTTCAAGACTCAACGGAAACAAAATGATGAGAAGGGCATCAAAACCATACAAGAGAAGAGCCAGGGGTAAAATGGTCATTTTATCCTAAAAGGAAGGAATTTAACTTTCAACAAGTCAAATTAGATCTAAAATATCCTAAAACACCCTTTGGTAACTTCACATGAAGTCCCAAAGCCAAAGGAAGAGAAATCCCAGATGAACCCTATCCCGGTTCAAAACAAATCCGACACCCTCTCACTAAAACAAGGATATCTTGAGTTATGAGAAAATTATGAAACTGAAACTAGTACCATTGGAAAGACAACAAAAAAATAATAAAGTTAGACTCAAGAATCACCTGGTTCGGAGTCCGGACGGAAAAGATATCAAGTCCAGAAGTCAAAGGAAGGAAAACCCTATCCCGGTTCGAACCAAATCCTGATACTACTTCACTAAAATATGAATAACTTGAGCTAAAAATGAAATCTAAAGCTCTAATTGGTACCATTGGAAAGCTTATTTTGACACGGTCAGTTTAGACTCAAGAACGGACCAATTCGGAGTTAAAATGAGTGAGATATGGCCCGTTGAAAAAAAAATATCTGGAGCAGGAACAGTACCCGCGGGGGCCCACCAAAAACCTGCTGTGGCCCGCCAAATGCGGCAGTAAGCCTCGGGCACCCACCAAATGGCTGCGACGGACCTCCAAATGGGGCAGTGGCATGGGCTGGAACCTCAAAAATTGCAGGAACAGTGTTTTTAGCAGCAAATTGAACTTGAAACGCAGTTTATGAGGTCAAGATAAAATTTTTCGGGAAAACACGAAAAGGATACTCCCCCTAAAATCACATTTTCTATGTGACGGAGTTGATAACGGGATTTATTTCTCAAATAAAATCCCTAAAATGCCCTTAAATCAGTTTAGGATCAAAACGACGAAAATGCAACTTTGCACCAAGCATACATTTGACCCCAAATGCACTTCTAAATTGGAACGAATATGCACGCGCACGTAACAAATGATTCTGAACTTGTGGGAATGGTCTGCGACTCCCGAAAATGGCCGAATCAAAATCCGACCACCTAACGGCCAAAAAGGCGAAAATGAACTTGAAATGGAAATTTTAAAACCCAAAATTAATGAATGACCTCAAATGACCGTTTGGCCCTTGGCCACACCTCATACATGATGAAGGAGATCCTACGAAAGAATCAAAATGGAATTCCCACACCCGATACAAATATGGTGACGCAATGACTTGGCATTTTTTTAATAATTTCACAATATTTCATGAAGTCATAGATTACATAGGATACAAAATACATGTCATTAGTCTCCGGCCTCATCTTATACATGTCAAATACATTGTAAAGAGTGTACTCATGTACACATTACATATATGGAATCAAATATACACATTTTGACAATTTAGGCTACAAATGACATTTCAAGCCAACCTTTACAAGAACTAAAGCCTTCAAGTCAACTATCATCCAAGCAATGATGCACATCATGCACCAAGTCTACATACCTAAAACAGCCCCCCCCGTAACTTCGGGGTGAGTAAACAAGTTTACTCGTAGAGAATGAGCATGCATCGACTCAATTTCTTTAGAGGTTTTTAGGACTAACATGATACAGTTCAAAAGAGTCATGCCACCTAACGTCTATATCAAGGTGAGACTCAGGGAGCATCCAAAGCTACTCATGCAATTGAGATAAATTACGGCATACAAGTATACATGCTCAAGTATACTAAGGAATGTTAAAACATGTTATACAACGTACAAGCATACATTTCCAAGTATACTAAACCATATTAAGACAAGTCATGTAATGTCTAAGCATATTTACACAACTATGCATTTTATATGAAAATCTCGTAAATCAAGTATACTGACACAAGTATACTAAGCTAATAGGATTGCACATATGACAAGTATACATAGCACAAGTATACTAAATGCAATTTAAACTCGTGGAACAAGTATACAAGTTCGAGTATACTAAATAGAATTAAAATATCCAAGTAAACATTAATTCTCAAGTTACAAGTAATATATGATTAACAACTTGAAATTAAATGCGAAATCAAATAGTGGAAAGACTAGGATCCTTGGCTGCAGACCAATCGAGTTATTCTAGGTTACTAGCCCGTAATGTACTACCTAGTGCGCACGTGTATAAGTTATTCTGGGTAATTATGACCCACAAAGTGCTACCTACTGCGCACTTCATATAACTTAGGAAACTTACAAATCCGTACTAGGGCCAGACCCTAGCCATCATATGAACATGATCCTTACAAGCCTCCAAAAATAATAAGTTCAAAACTTATGCAAAATCAATAAGTTAAACCAAACTTATACATTTCAAATAATGTCTAGGAATCAATTTACATGCATAAGTAAGGTTGAATCTGCACAAACCATGTCCTAAAATTCAAGTCTAGATAGCATATGACATATCAAGTCTCTATTATGCAATTTATACACAAAGTAAGAATATTTTCAACAATTGAATCACATTACCATCCTAAGCCACAAGTACTAAATGAGCTGCAATTTAGTAACAAACTCTCAAGGTAAACAATTGTAATATTCTAACAAGTTATATACCTACACAAGATATATGTAAACAAGCCATTCAAGTCAATGATATTCCATATCATGCTAAGTCCAATTACCATGTTAAGGAACCATAAGTACTAATTCTACATCAAGTTAGAAGCATGCTTATAAAGTAATTAAAATGCCACATTTCAAGAGATTTTCAGCCTAATCATAGAAAGTCTCTAGATATCAAATCTATTCCAAATAACCTCAAATTAATATATGTTAAATAACATAGCATGTTCATTTCATACATCAAATCAAAAGGGCAAAATCAGCAAGACATCATCATGTAGATTTTAATTAATTTAAATTAATTAAATCTCTAATTTTTCAAAGTTGTTCAATTGATCCCAAATAAATATATGACAAGAACCAAGTCATGGCCATGCCATATATCAAGTCAAAAATGAAAAACAAGCATGGTACAATTAAATAGAATTTAAATCAAATTAAATTTATTTAAATCTCTAGATTTGAAAACTCATTCAAATGGCTCCAATAAATTATATAATAAGGATCAAGTGAAGGCCATGCCACATACCAAATCAAAAGTGAATTATATGTAAGTTACAACAATCATTAATTTCTCAAATTAACATTAAAACATGCATATCACTTGTATTCCATTACAAAAGCAATCAAAATGACTTGGAAAATAAACTATAACACCCCCTACCTCACAAGAGGATTGTTCTCCTTGAATCCAAGGCAAATCAACACGAAATGGCAAACCCTTCAAGGGTTATCTAGAGGAGGATAAGGGGAGCAAAAAGTATTCCCAAGGTTAAGCTTGGAAATCAATGGAAGGCTCTCAAAAATCCATGTCAAAGCTTAAGGCTTCAAGCTCCATCCATGGAGGCTAGGGTTTGTGGTGAGGAAGCTAATGACATAATGTGAAAAAGTGTGAGTGTGGGAATTAGAAATCCTTCACTCACTAAGTGATCCTACACCATGGTTAACACACACATCTATGGTCAATTACACAAAAACCCTTCTTTAAAACCATAATTCCAAAGTGGCCCAAAAATTAATTACAAGACTTAATTTGGAGCATACACTTGTCACTCATCCAAGCATCCATTGTAAGCTTAATCCTAAGCCTAAACTTGTCAACCATCCAAGCCAACAAGTGCACCTATCCTAGGTCAACAAGTGGTTAAATCTCCACCCTCCACATGTCCTCATCCAAGGCCTCAAAGTGTTTCCACACAAATGTCAACAAGAGGACCAATGAGAATGTGACACTTGTCACACTTTTTAGAAATTGTAAAAAAGTCCTTTTTGAAAATATCTTCCAAATTAAATTACAAA